TTTGTACTTTTAATTTGTACCAGATTTATACATGCAAATAGGAGCAAGCGCAGGGAGTGGACAGTATTCAACAAGGGCAAATGCAAAGATTTCGCTTTCTTGTCAGGTTTCCCCTATTTTTTGGTTGTCAATCGCCTTACATTACAGACCTGCGTGACTAAATATCCTTCCGGTTTTTCCTAAGTATGAGTCGATTGACGTTCGTGAATAGATATTGCTAGAATATTTCAGTTTTTTCTGCTGTGTCATCGACACGTAGGTTAGATTATTTCTAAAATAAAATATTCTGCCTCGCACAGCTGTAAGCGTCCCGGCGGAAGCGACAACTTTTTCTTCCCTAACCATAACCCAACTTCGGATCTTGTACATGTACAAATATGGAGTTTGTTTGTTTTGTTCTTTTCGTTTGTCAAGATGCCGAGATGACCATGATTACCCACTCAAGAAGCGTGAGAAGCAAACAATATCCCCACGTGAGAGACTTAATTGCATTTTTAAATATTCTTTGTCGCATCATTATCCCTCTTGATTCGATCGACAGCCCAAACAAAGGGAAGAAAGTTCTGCCTCACCCTGTCTCGTCTTGTTGTTACCAGCCTTGTTGAGACATCAATACATAATCTTGCAAACAGGTGAGGAGAAGAGACAGTGTTATGAACTTTATGGGTGTCATCTGGATGTAACGCCAATTTCTCTTCCCTGGTTTACAACGAATTAAATGTAATACATGCAAAGTAATACAGAATGAAGACTTACTAATCAGTTATTGGGAATCAAATAGTTAAACCATTAATTGCACAACCGCCAACACTAAAATCATTCACTCTTAAGTCTTAATGTTTGTTTTCTTTGATTTTTCAAGGATTCTTATGATACAACTCAACGGCTGAGAGATACAATTGACCCTTGTCTGAGATTAATTGTTATACCGATGACATAAAGTCGATTAAGCCAAACAGAAATGATGGAGATCAAAAATAAATCGATAAATAAATAAATGAATGAGCAAAAAAAGAGGGATCGGAAGCTAATGATTTTATCTAGCAGCAAACGTGTTTGAGCGCCAGACTTGCCCGATCTCTGAAAGGGAAATGAAACAATATTTGCAATGCTCGAGATTATGGGCAGTATAAATAGTTTATCACATAACAAGCCATTGATCTAATTTCCTTGAGCACTTAGAACTTATATGAATTAAATTGATCAGAGACTAAGAAAACTAACGAGGCAACTGGTTTCAAAAGGAGCAGTTGCGTTGCGCCAAATAAAACGTTTAGGTGGTTTTTGGTTACGGCGGCTGAAACCACCGTAAACGAACTTTGAAAATCCGAGGAGTCGATCGAATGTTAGCCCCTTGTCGGAGGATGTTGGTAAATATAAGCTAAACGACACTTCGGGTTAACTTTGTGGCAAGTCTTATCGCTGACTAATGGTTTATCAGTTGTATATTTATAGAACTATAACATCATCGCGTTATAATTAAAATTTTTTTATTCCTTTAAAATGGCAACATCAATAATACGAGCAGTATGACTACACTGGTTGATTCTCGAACCTTCGTGAATAAGAACTCTTTTTATCCTACTGGTGAAAGATTTCAAACGCCAGCATTGATTTTAAATTGCACTTACTTTAATATACCTGATACAAATTTTTGGGATTCTAACAGTTTGGAACAAATTGACTGTTCGATTAAGCCTGTCTGATGACAAGTGTCTGTAATTGGACAGATCAAAGCAGACAGTCTTGGTCAGTCAATAAAGCCACAAAAAAAGGCCGGTCGAGAATCATTCATATTCAAGTATATTGTTGTTGACACAATAACTAAAAAAATTGCAATGGGAATAACAACATTTTTTTAACTGATACAATGAACTTATCGGAGCATGGAAAGAAAGATATAAAGTACAAGATAGTGTTGCGCGATGACATTCACGGATCGTTGGAACTCGAGGGTCCAGATGCCAATGCTCCAAAGCTAAATCCTGTAGTGGATCTGCACTTCATCCACCTACGAGCTGTGTTCCTCCGTCTTCCGTCCAGAAGAAGTTTCCCTTTCTTTAGCCTGAGGTACTGACTCCCCAGAAACACATATGATTTTCCGTTGAGCCACGTTACCGCAGTGTCAATATGATCAGGAAATTTCCAAGCGCTTCGGATCTTTCTAGGATACGGATTTCTTGAAGGTCCTCGGACTGTGCGTCGGGTCCATTCGTTATACCGCCAATATTGTGTTCCTTTGAAGAAGTAGGTGATTTGGTTTTTTTCCCAAATGAAAACTGCGTTCATGTTTGCCAGACTCAAGGGAAGCCCATATCTTTTTATGAGACCGGAAGATTTCAAAATTCTTCGTGAGTCGTATTCCCAAAACCTGCAAAAACGCCAAAAATGTGGTCTCAAACTCATGAGAATGGTACGCGCAGGTCTTCTGGTTCTCGCGGTGTACTCCAAATGGACAGCGTTCGAGCCGTAATATTGTTCTATGTTCCTGGACAGGACACTTTGGTCTCATAGGGGCTATCTTCACCCAGGAGTTTAAATGGTAACAGCAATCTGCCGGGGAAAGCCGATGAAATATATGGGGGAGGGGGAGGGGGAATAGATTATGATGGACCAGCGTCCCATGCAGAGGGAGGGGGGGGGGGGGGGGGGTTGGCCAGGATTGCTTCAAATCATTTGCTATTACGGAAACTGGAATAAGCCGTGGCACTGAGGGTGGGTAGCCTCCAAGGAAACTTATACTTATCTATATCATTTTAAAGACTCTACTTGAGTACGACGATACTTTCCATCACGTAGAAGTTTAAGTTAGCTGAGTGCCTTGGGAAATGACACACAGTTCATACTGTGTAGTTGTGAAACTTTTATAAACGCTATAATTTCGAAAATTTGGCTCTTAATTTGATAACAAGAAATCTTTCAGCAACTATTTCAAAGTCTTGCAAAAAACTACTTTACTTGGTTTACATGGCTGCTCTTTCACTTAAAAACGCAGCAGACAGACGATACTGATCGTTGTTGTCATATCAACATATTCGATCGCGCTCTTAGAAACCATACTCAAGCCTATTGAGGAAAACCAAACATTTTTCTTAAAATAAATAAAAACCGCCATCTTACTCTGTTCCTTTAAAGAACACGATGTTTCTCCGTTTGTTGCGGTACACGGCATCCACGGGGGTCTTCACCTCCTTCCAGAAAGATTTGATAGTGAATGGACCACTCCTGCGCAGTCTTCTGTCCACGATCCAAAACCAATTTCCCACAAAAAAGTACGTCATCCGCCGCCTGGGATCTAAAGAGACTGCGTCATAACGGACGGAACTATCGCAAAGATCTGGTGGAGTTGGGCGAGAAGTAACGGTACGAGGGCGGAGAGTTATCCGCGGACGCTGGGTAGTTGTGGCTTTTGTTGTGGCTTTATTTGTGGTCCTTAAGATTGGTGCTGTTGTTGGCTCTGAAATGTTTTTGAAAATCAAAACAAATGTCTTCTTGCTGTTCAATTTCCTAAAATCGTAGTCAACTATTCAACGTAGCGTGCAGTAAATATTCTTTGGTTTTCAATGCGCTTTACCACATTTGGCAGTAAAGTCGCAATCTGACTGGCCAATTTGCCGATGTCGATAACAGTCTAAACAACGCTGCTCGCGTCAACGTGTCACACGATGAACATGCATTGAAAGGATCGTTTTATTTGATGTCGATGTTGTGGCAAAAAACAAAACTTTGACTATTGTGATGACGGATTTCGTTGTCGATGAGAGTACAGACCACGCTAAACTACTGTCGATTTGGTAATTTGCCTTGTTCTTATAAGCCATTGCGATCAATTATTAGCCGTTGCGATCAATTTGGCTTTTCTTTACCGACATCCAATCGCAATTGTAAGTCGCACAAGCTTTGATCCCTGAAAACGCACATTATTGCATGCATGCTTCCTTACTTGGATACAAAGCTTGAATTCCTTGTATGTCATCATCGGTCAGTTTAACATCCGCGACATACCCCTTGTACCAGGGGTACATGATTGAGTCTCGCACATTGGAATGTTCCAGACCCAAACTGTGTCCAAACTCGTGAACTGCTACCCAGTCCAAGTTAATGCCGTCGTCTGGTGTCTCTGTGGTGAACTTCTCATCATCGTCAAAATGAGCGTCACCGGATAATCCTGCAACCAATGAGAGTTTGATTTGATTTTTTTACTGAGCAAAAGGAAAAGACTTAAATTGAAGTGATGCATGTGTGATGAGAATTAAGAAAACCATAGTTTTAATAGTAAAATGCACTGTTCGCTAACGAACAGTGCATTTTCAAAAAATTGAATCAATAATCCTTTTTCTATCGATTTCACTTCACTACTTTTAGAATTTTATTTCACTCTTGGTAGAAGTGGTGCCCGAGCACCTTGCTAACACAGCCATGGCTGGGGCGTGAAATTGAAATCTTAGGTAAGACACTTAACCACTTTCACAGTCATCTCCGAGGGCCAGTGGCATGAAATGGATACTAGTAAAGAGGATGAAGATGAACCAACATATCAGCGAGTGGGGATGTTCATGGTCATGAAGTAATGAGGTCCATGGCCATGTCACTTAACCACTCGTTATCCTTTTTGAGGATAACCCACCTTGGTTATCATGGGGATAGAAGGCATGAGCTAATGTCCCCCCTGGTCCATCAAATGGATAGCCGTCCTTGTGATCTCTAGTAACAAAGCTGATAGGGATGTCTGCATAACCATGATACACCTGTCGTATACGCAAATCTGAAGCTGCTTCCCATTTTCTCAGGGCCTCTCGAAAGATCTGCTGCTGTTTATTCCGAGATGGGATATCACTGGTGTAGTTCACGATCTTATAAGTTAGATCCTGGGGAAAAAAATAAATTTGTTAATACTTTCTATTAGTGTAACTCTATAAACTGCTTGATTGCGTAACTGCTATGTAGGTGGCACACAGCGGTCAAACGTCTACGCATATGCGAATGTTGTGATGTCTAGGTGGCGTGTAACCAAGAAGTCTCAATAACCACACTAGCCAGTAGGTTACAATGTTTTAGAAGCGTATAACTTTTTCGGTAAAGCTTGAAAAACAAGTTGGTAAATCAACATCAAATTTTGGGCGGAAATTGGCGCGCGGGCGGCCAAAATTGGCCCCCTCGAACATGCCAGACGTTTGATCGCTATGTTTAACATGACTTTCGACCAACATTTAAGGGTTAAAGGTGTGGTTTTTTTTTTTTCGCAGAGAGAAAGAGTTAATTAGTGTGTTTCTACTCTTCCCAAATTCCCGTTTTGTTATTTTTGCCATATCCCTCCTTTTTACATCACTTTGTTCCGCATGCTCTATCACTCATATTTTTGTAGAAACATCTTTTGACGGACACATTACCTAAATGCTTCTCTTGCGTGCTCTGAGACCAGAATCATGTCTTTAATTTTTTCGGAGCGGCCTGAAATAAGATCAGGATTTTAAAACGCGGGTGGTACACCCTTAACAAGAGATCTACCCTGCCGGGTTCGCTGACCCAATCATGTTTCCGAATGCACTTTTGATCGAGGCCGACTTTCTGTGAGTAAAGTTAGGTGCTCAGCTTTTGTTTTTTCTTGAATTGTTATATTCCTTTGCAAGTGAAAAAGACCTACCCTCTTCTTCCAATAAGTTCCCTGTTTCTTGAATTCTCCGATCCCTCTCGAGGAAGGAGGAGGTGGATCTTTCATACCGCATCTTGATGTGCTGATTAACTCGAGGGTTTTCCTGTCAATAATTCCCGTCACAGGAATACCACCAAACCATTGAAGTGTCCTTATCGCCTTTCTGAACACAGGAGAATTTTGATCACCAGCGCCAGCTGTTTCCGTTGGGTTTGAGATATCGACGTACCCAAATTGAACTAGAAACTGTGATGTCTGAAAATGAAAACATTTCAAAATCCAATTTAACTGTTATCTGTTGGTTGTTATCTCTCGCTAGACATTCATCTGGTGGGAAAAGACTCACTACGCAAGTGACGCACGAAGCACGCGAGATTACGATATCAATCCCACCCACGTCGCACGCCTGTGGTTGCGTTGCGCGTGCGCTGACTTCGGGAAGATGATCATTCGTAGTGGAAATTCGGGAAAATGCCAAGTGTAAGACTAACTAGGAATATTCGGAGCCATGATACTTTTCTGGAAATTAGGATCGTGACCAACAGCCGTGGAGTGCTACTGCCTGTCGATCCTGCCAATTCAAAAACGATACCACAGACATGAAGATAAGTGGCTGAAAGGGAAGAAAATCCTCCCAGCTGTGTATTGTTATGGTCTGATCTGTCGATCTGAAGCCATTTTCGTTCAAATCAGGATCGGCGTTAGTTAAAAAAGTTTCCATGGTATGCTGCGCATGTATGTATTTAGGTGTCTTAAAAATTCCATTCATAGTTTTTGAAGTGAAACTACAAGGCAGCCCAAGCTCTAGCTGTAAGATGATCACCTTGCGTAGTAAGAGTCATGGTGAAAATATAAGAGTTTGTATGGGAAAATTTACGAACGCTCCTAGGAAGTAAAAAAAAACAGTCAAACTCTCTATAAAAGTACCTCACCTTACTTCCACAGTGCATCACTTGTTGTCTGACCGCTTACTATGTTGAAAAGAAGCCATTTTAGCGATTTATTAGTTTCTCGATTTCCTAATCCTAGTAAACCTAGAAATGGATAACTCGCTCAAATGGCCTCGTTGCAACAAAGTAAACGGTCAGACAACAAGCGATGCACTTTAGAAGTAAGGTGAGGTATTTTTATTGAGAATTTGACTGTATTTTCAAGTTTTATTCCCAAGAGCGGTCGTAAATATTCCCATACAAACTATTATATTTCGCCATGATTCTTATTACGCAGAATCATCATCTCATCATCAATCAACTCCTTTTCGCCACATAGTTGATGATTGAAACATCAACAAACGAGTGTCATATTTCTTAGCGGTTGCGAAATCAGCTATTCGTTATAATACTCTTCTGAGATCTGAC